TTGATCAAAAAGTCCTCCCACGCTTTTTTATACCTTTCGTCCTTTCCCTTTTCCCTAAAAAATATACATTTTTTTTTTTTTTTTTTTTTTTTTTTTTTTATTCTACTTATTATTCGTTCGTCTATTTTCTTCTTCAATTATTTTGTAGATCGTAGTACTTCTTTAGTAACTTAATGTTGATGGGCGAGGCTATAACGTTTCCGGTTATAGTTCTTAATTTAAATACGTTTTTGGGAAGTACCTCGTGTACGTAATACGGTCCTTTCCATTTCGGGTCAAACTTTCCGCTTCTACGACCTTCTAGCGACGCTCGATACACCAATACCTTATCGCCGATTTCAAGTCTGGGGCTTATACTGATTTGTTTGTCGTGCCGCTCCTTCATTTTCATCTGTGCCTGCTGCACTCGTACGACGGCGGAGTTACGAACGTAGGGTAAGTTTTCAATGAGTTCTATTGTTCTTTGTACTATCGTTTCGTTAGCTAATTCTCTTGTCCCACTGGGTTCAATGGGTAACTGTGCTTCACGTCCGTACACCAAGAAAAATGGCGTGATTCTTGTCGTCGAATGTCTTGTCGTTCGATATGCAAACAGGATTGCCGGTATGACTAAATCCCATTCGCTGACTGTTTCTATTGTTCTTGCAATGGCCTCACATAATGTTTTGTTGAACCGTTCCACCAATCCATTTGTCTGTGGATGATACGGGGTGGACAACAAATGCTTAATGTGAAACTTTTCTAGTAACCGATACACCACGTGGTTGAGGAAATGTGTGCCACGGTCAGATAGCAACTTCTCGGGGCATCCGTGCCGACAGATAATTTTATCGAAGATGAAATTAGATACTTCTTGGGCGTTCGCAAACTGGATTGCCTTGGCTTCGGGCCACTTGGTCATATAATCTGTGGCCACAACGATGTAGCGGTTGGACCTTGGGGTAATAGGTAAGGGGCCGACAATATCGATCCCAACTTGATAGAACGGGGCCGATACGGGTATGGGGTTTAGGGGACCTTTTAATCTATTTCTACCCCTTCGTTGGCACTCATCACAGCCTCTAACATATTCCTTTATATCGTTGAACATTCTGGGCCAGTAGTATATGCCCCTAATCTTTTCGAACATAGCTTCTGTTCCAAAATGGCCTCCCGTTGGGTGATTGTGCGTCATTAACAGGACGGCGTCGACTTCGGGCTTCTGCACCACCCTTATTAACCTGTCTGGGTAATGTATGTTGGGTTTATAGAGGATCCCGTTTCTTAGCCTCAAAGTTTTACTTAGTCTAATTATTGCACTCGTCTGTGTTTGATCTAGGTTTGGGGACAGATATTGATTAAGCATGTATTGCTTAACTCTATTATACAGCGTTGGGTCCATCGTCTCTTTCTTATGGCCAGGACACCGACAACCTGGTCTGGATATTATTTTTCGTCGGATTTATTTCGATTTAGCGTCTATAACTCTAGTTTACGTTTCTTGTTGTGATTGCTTTTCGTTTACTGGTTGTCAATTCTTTTTGTTAATTCCGCCTTTTGTTGATTTATAAGGGCTCGTTATTGATCTCAAGTGGTTCTACGATTATGACTTCACGATCCCTCCTCAGTTGGGCATTCTTATCGGCATTAATAACACCTTCGTTCAGAGGCTCAGTATACCCCAGGTCGATTCCAGTGCTACACAAGTATTCCCTTCGAGCCAACTCTTGGCGTGCTCCACTAACGATCCAATCTCGT